CTCAAATTTTGTCTGTCTTATAACTATGGCGGACAGCATATGTAAGTGGTGTGTTGGTGTGTTTACGAGTATTTTTGTTTGTTTTTGCTTCTCTGTAAAAGACTAATTACATTTAGACACTTTGTTGTAGATAAATATACATCTGCCGATAGTATTTTCAATGTCATGTATTATGATAGTAAGAAAAAATATGGAAGTACAACATCCCTAATGATAAGTTTGTTTTATAAGTTAAATGAAATTCTTAAATCTAAAGATCGTTCATTTTTAAATGTTTGACGGAGAGATTTACATGTAAGGATTAGTTTTGTTTTCACGAGTTGATCACGGATTGATATCAGTTAGAGAACCAGTGAAAATCAGGGAGTACTGGACATCTGTTTCATCCTAATTTGAGAATCATCGGCATTACGCACCCACAAATCAATCCTTGAAAATTAATTTGATGCTCACTAGTGACTTGTCACAGAATGGAGTTTCTTGGAGTTCTGGTGAGAAGTCGTGTCCAGTGAGGTCAGTCCAGTTCGGAGTATGGATGGATTTCCCACCGATGACACTGGGTGGTGGTTGCGGTAAATGTCACGAATTGATAGAAGTTAGAATTCATGGACTGGCCATTGAATCGGATCTTAGTGACTGAATAATATACGAGCTTTTCTTGTAACCGGAAGGTACTGGGTTTGAACCTTGATGATGGGTGCGTACTGCCGATGATTCCCAAACTAGGATGAAACAGCTTCCCAGTAATCCAGTGCTGGTTTTCACTGGTTCTCTAACTGATATCAATCCGTTATCAACTCGTAAAAAGAAACATTTTACTTTTCATGAGTTTGTTTGAAATTTGGTCACGGAGTGATATCAATTAGAGAATTATTGAAGGCAAATACGCGTCATGGATGACGTTAGCTGGCGGTTGCGCTAGAATCACGTATTGGTAGATGTAAGAATTCATGGGCCACTGAATCGAGTGAAGTGGCTAAATGACCTACAAGCTAGGCTTGTAACTGGAAGGTTCTGGGGTTCAAAACCCAATTAGCGTTTTTTGCTGATGACCACCAGACTAGGACTATGGAGGCAACTTTCCAGTACTCCAGTGCTGGTTTTCAATCAATCCGTAATCAAACTAGAAAGAAATACCTTCTTACAGACTCCAAATTGATGACGACTGGAGAGAAGATAGTTTAATAAATCGAATAATTTTCAGAAACCCTACTTGGACAGGGCAATACTTAAATTTTCACAGCTTCTGTCCACTACAGCACAACAGAGGTTTGGTAAAATGCTTATTCAAGAGAATTCAGCGTATTTGTACATCTGATGTTATAGAGGATGCGAATAAAGTACTGATGGATATTCTTGTTGAAAACGGAAATCCTTCGAAATTTCTAGAACGGTGTATAAGTCAGTTTGTTTTAAAATTTACAATCTACTCTGTCCCTAAGAAAGGTGTTTTCATTAAATCACCACACAGTGGGGAAGTAAATAGTTGAATTTTGACAGAGACAGAGACTGAACTCAGTCAACCGCAGAACCTATCATGCAGCCCGGCTTATAATTATTGAAAAAGTCAAAAAAGGCTCCACTGCAAACCTCAGAAGTGCATAAGTGATTATGTCACATCACATACTGAATACCAATTTACGTGTGTGTGAGGGTGAGACAACTTATTCTAAAATGGTTGGAAAAACAGATGAACTTTGAAAAATCGATAGACACAGGTGGCAGACTACCATCTTCGTCCGTAACTATATATTCAATCTATATGAACCACAAGATTGATGTCAAAACGGCTTTTAAGTTAATTTATCAAAACGGTCAAGGGCGGCTGCTGAAATACCTTATGGCAAAAGTTATTCATAAACTTAAGCCACTCTTCCTATGTGCACAGAAACAATTTATTCTACCCTTAAGCCGCCTTGGTAATCCGTATCTGATTAGATCACCAAACATGGTGTTAGTTACTCTTATTATTCTTAAATCCTTTTTGTCACTTTTTGTATTTTAATTGACCTTGCATTTTTCATGTAGTTTGACTTGACAAGTAAATCTGTGATTAGATTGTTAAAAGTGCATATTGCGCGAAAATATCCCATCACATTTTTCAGATAATTCCCACCTTCTAAGATTACACTATCCAGAATTTGTTTTGATTCCTTTACGTTACCAGTAGAGCATAGGGCTTCAAGCTAGAGGCTTGCATTTTCGTTAGTAGGGATGTTTACTTTTATGGTATAGGGTTGCTAGCCTAATGCCCAACATTCCCTCTTTACCTGTTTCATTACTGGCTTAGCGAGGTAAAGGAGTGTATTATACTTTGACAAAGCTATTAGCATTAAATAGTGAAACGTCAGTAAAAACAATATCGTTTTGTTTTTCATTCATTGGGAAATACAAAAATCTTTATTATAATGAATGTCATATACCCAATGCCCAAATTTTTTCAAATGATATTTTTTACTTAAATAGTTTGGCTTTAAATGTACACACAATGCACAATCATATCATAGCTTCCACTACCAAATACTGAAATATTATTTTATGTTATTTATTTTCTTTCCTACTTCTTGGTACATTTTTCGCATTTTTAAAAATTATTTTTGTGTTTTTTGTGTGTTTTTGTTTTTGTTGATGTTGTCTTCACATTCCCCATTGAGTCCGTGGTGGCGTTCCCAACCATGCTCTACTCCAGTATCCATCGTTTCACACGTCAACGCGTTATTCACTGTACCACTTGACCCACAAGAGCCACTTATTTTGTAATGGGTATTAATTAGCTGTTATTAAATTTAATTTCGATTTTCACGTTGAATGAGTGAACCAAAGTGGTCGGCTTCAGAGGGAATACAAGTACATCCAGATGACGAGTCTCAAATGGGGCGAAACACATATCCTGGTGGATCTTATCACTAGTCACCATTCCCGAAATACTTCAAGTCAAATCATAAAAGACTAAAGAAGCATCCGCACAAAGAGCTGACTAGTCAACAGAGAGTGAACACTTCGGTCCGGGAGTGATCATTTGTGAAATCAATAATTTTTGTTTGTTATGTTCTATTCGCGAACCATCATGTTGCCGCATATGCACCTCGGTCCCCTGGAGTTTTGAATGCCAAAACAATTTAATTGATGTAAACATAAACAATAAGCATTTTTTGAGCAATATCTCATGTCTCGAGTGTAAAATAACCAATAGAATACTTATGGGAGATATTCAGTATTCTCTAAACGTTCATTGCGAAGGTTTCATCATCACTTGTTAGATTTTCGTTGCAAGCCAACGCCAGTTAGAGAGATCATTGAAAAAAAACAGGACGCACTGGATGGCTATATCGTCATATTTTGTGACTTTCCAACATTGAGAACTCGTGATCCTGCCAAGGATCGAACCTGAGATCTTTAGTTTAGGAGACCAAGATTGTTGGGCTGAAATTCAATGACCTCTGAGTTCTAACTTTGCCAAATCGTGATATAGCACTGCCTTCACCAATGTCTTCAGTGACATAGTGGAACCTATTGGTTACAACTTTCCACTGCAGCTTCAGAAAGTCTATTCAGTAGTCATGTGTGAGCTGGCGAATGATTATGGGTTTCGTTAGAATTTTCAAAATAACTTCAGTTGTTAGATTTTCGTGAAGAACCGACATCAGTTCCCTGGTTTTCAATGGCGTTTCTAAGTGAAGTTGGTTCGTGACAGAAATGTAACAATTGAAATCAATCTAAAAATCCCCACATATTCTATAATCCGAGTTTCATAATCAGCCTTTATGACAACTCCAGCATCACTTTCACAGCCATCATGAACTATTTTGTAAAGTTTGTGCAAACTAGGAAAGCGATTTTTCGTTATCCCTTCGGAGAATGGCCACATTCCCCTAAGCTTTTGAAGCAAGCTCATTGAAAATTCAGACGCTAGAAGAGCTGCCAGTAGCTGAGTCATTAACAGGCCTGCTAGTCTTGAATTTGACCTTAGGCAGGATTTTGAGTCCTATTTCACCGCTGCGCATGGTTCAATAATATAATAAAGTAACGGCAGTATCGTCCAAATAGAAAAAGGTGTCATTATCCAAGAGAAAGGGGCTAATCGTATCAAAAATAATAATATGTAATGGTTTTCTAGATGTCAAGATTCAACTGACTTCAAATTAGATCTTTCCAGCGAGTCGGTAATTTTAGTTGCACCAGAAAATGAGATATTAGATTCGAAACTAAAAGCTTGATTGTAACACCCTAGTGTCAAATTATGACGGTTCTGACTCCATTCTTCACGTGTCTATTGATATGCATATCTAAGTGAGTTTTAAACCTGGTCAAAGTGGCTGTTATTGGTGGTCTTTTAACTTATGTGGTTATGTTATGAAACGTGCCACTTTTTTGTTAGCTTTTTGACACAAAAACCTAGTAGATAGCCTTAAGACAGTTTGACTGATGTGCGGTGTATTGAAATATTATTTTAGCTATCGTTGATGTTGGTAATAGATTCTTAAATTAGACTAGCTTTTAATCACACAACAGCGTCAATGATTTAACAGGCTGATCTTTTTTCCAATAAAGCAAACAGTTAAATCATTGAGTTTAATTCACATAAATTTTAAGTTGAACAACCGCTAATGAATGCTCAACTGTCTATATTCAAATAATTTCCACCTGTTTAGAATTCGTGACTGATGGGGTCCAACAGGTCAAATATTCGCTAGTGATACTGGTTGGTGGTCGCGCTTAAGTCTCCAACTGACAGAAATTGGATTCATGAGTCAATAAATGCCGGCCCAAATGTCCCGATGGTTAAGGAGCTTAATGTGCTAATTAGAAGGTCGTAGGTGAGTACTGTTGGCAAGTCACAAACAAGGAGGAATAAGTTATCTAGTACTCCCAGCTAGTTTTCACTGGTATTCTGACTAACAGCAATTCTTTGCTCAAACTTCCAACTAATAAACATCAAGTTAAATAAATAAAAATGAAATTAAAGATTTTGTTAAATGATATGTTGTTTTTCGACTTACATCGAAATAAAGCCAAAATATGAAGATAGCATGTGCCAGTATATATATTGTAACGAATGATGTGAATACATGCTGTTCAATTTGTTGTACCATTTTCCAGTCAGAACAGGCTATACGATTACTACGACTACAACCGCTGTTTTGTTCTCTTAACAAGGAACTGAAGGTTTGATTGACGGCAGCTAACGATGGAGTGGAATCATTCTGTATTTGATTGTACATAGAAGATGTGGAATCTTGTGATGAAGAGGCAGGTGATGTGATAGAGGACGAATTATAATTTGGCTCTAATCCATTTGATACATTTGTGGTGTCTGTTGACGGAAATTTATTTACAAGATCTAAATGGGTAGAAATAAAAATTCAAATAACAGTAACCTGAATGAAACTGTGCTGATCTGATAAATTTACAAATTAAGGCATGGTAGCTTAAGAAATTTATCTTTACGCATGAAATTTCAACACATTTGATGATAGTCGTATTTGGATGTGTTCGTTTACTTCATATGAGTGATACAGATGTCCGTTTAACCTTTGTCATTGTGACTATATAATCATTCTGTACGTCTTGTTCTTTAGCAAGCATCGGTTTATTTTATTAGTACGATTTCAACAAATGGCTAATGATGACTTCTACATTTCCATAGTGAATAAAAGCATGGGAGGTAATTGTCAGCCCTGAAATGAGAATCACTGAACTGTTAAAGCGGCCTATAGAATTCCCTGCTGCATCTTTGAGTAGCGTCTCCCAGTTAACCACTACTGTTCAATAACCTGGAGGACAAGATCACGCAGTTGACCAAGTCTATGTGCGTTTATCGATTCACCTACTCGTGTGTAGCAGGATGAATCGGTTGTCTGACTCGAGTTTTCTTCCAAGAGGGTGCAAGAACACTACCTTGCATGGTAGTTACGAAGAGGTGGAAATGGAGCAGTAAGAAGTGCAATCATTGAACATCCGGTCGATGATGATCACCCTATCTCTAGATCCTCCACCTTCAAATTTATCTACAAGGCGAAAATTAATTTGCCCAAATCACTACGGACCCAGCTTATCTGTACTGCCGAAGCTTTGACCATCGAAACAGAAAAGTCACTTTTCTGTATGCAGAAAAAGTTCGTTCAACCCCTCTGACTTTCATGGTCTTAATCCCTCTATGGCAGTGAAGTATGGTAATCTGCATCTCAATTTCGGCCCGACCAATTGTTTTCGTTTTGTTTATTCAATTTGTATACTCTTCCTTTATTACAATGTCAATTGTCACTATTACTATTCTCACTCTGAACAGTACCCGGTATTATTTCACTCATTCCAGTTGTCATTCTAAATCACTTCTGTTTTACAAGGTTAAATTCTATGTTATGAAATTTCACACAATATTATGTAACGTTTTTGCTTTTGTTCTATTTGCCTAATAGTCCTATAATTGCACATTCCTTCCAGGTTCTATACATCCTATGATTTATTCTATATATGACAGTAATTGTTTTTCCACTTGACATTTAACTACAATTATTAATCACAAATATTTTAATTGCATTTCATATCATTATTATTTTATGCATTCACACCTTTGATTCAATTCCCATAATAGATATGATTTCTTGAAAATATCATATGTATACGATTGTACAGCTCGATAATAAATTCATTGAAAAGAGTCTCTTCGCCGAATCACTTGTTTTGCTTTACTATGGAATTCCTTTAAATATTTTAGACAGTCTTTGAGTCACGACAGGTTTTGGGATATTCAGTGTAAATATCTGTTATTAATTCTTGATTTCATGGATTCAGGGAATGTTGACCATATGCACACTAGGTAGCGACACTACGCATCATCGTCAGACAGAGTGTTGAATGACAGTCAAACCTCTACCTCAGTCTCAACGGCTTTGAATAGGTAACGATGTTTACAGCGCTGACCAAAATGTTAATTAAAAAACCGTCTCAGCACTACGGGTCGCAGTGAACCAAATTTTTATCAACCCCATTCAACAGCTATATGATAACTGCATGTGGCAAGTGATGATCCACAACAGAAAACTCAGTGAAGACTTTGAAATGAATAGAGGAGTAAGACAAGACTGCAGTCTACCATAGATGATATAACTAACTGTGGTAGAAAAGATTATGCAGGACACCGTACTTGGGGAGCGAGAAGACCTGGACCTTTAAGAAAACTTTAGAAGATCTGGATTTGGCGGATAACTCATGTCTAATATCACAAAAACTCGAACATCTACAGGCAGAAGAGGCAGCAAAGAAGTGACTTCATGTGAACATAAAAAAACGGAGGTGATGAAGACAACCAGCCAACCACCACACGCATCACCATCAATGGAAGAAATTTGAAAGAGGTCACTTCTTTCACATATCTAAGCAGGACAGTTTCAACTCTACAGGTATTAGAGATGATGGTGCCACGGGTTTTCACTGACCTTGATTAATCCGAAATCATTGTGGAAAAATCATAACAAAATTAGAATTAAAAACACTAATGTGAAATCAGTGCTTCTATATCTTTCAGACTTGGCTTAAGCGTCACGAAAATCGCTTCCAACAGGCTACAGACTTCCATCAACAGATGCCTGCACCTACTCCATGGTCAAGGTCAGAAAGGATAATGTACATGAGGCTGTGCTCAACAAGTATGTTGACAGAAATGAAGATGGATCAGACACTTGTTGAGGAGATCTTATAATGATATCGGGCGTCAGGCTACCTCTCGAGTAGAACCTGATCCGAAAACGAGCGACTGAGCTTCGCTTCGAGAGTGATATGGTGGAGATTGTGTGAGGAGGAGATGAAAGCTTACAGGCAATCTTGGAGCCAGCTGAGGAGGACTGTAGAGAGCAGGATAAAATGGAGATGTGTTGCTCAAGCCTAATGTTCCACTGATAACCTAGGTAAATACTAATGTATTATCATAATATAACAATGCTGTACTACCCAATGCTATTTGATTGGTGGTTAGGGCATTTTAATACAGGATGTAAACTTCCTCTTATTTATGACGTGCTTGCAGACCAGTGAGTAAATCAAGCATCCATCGTTTCAAACTCCAAAGGGTTATCTATTAGGCACCAGGATCACAACAGCCATCTCTTGTAAAACTGGTATCCTTTTATACTTTTTGTGTTTTTGTTCTTTCCGTTGATTTTTCTATATCGGTACTTAAGTGCCTGGCGTCTGTTAACACGCAGGCACCTATTGCGAACACCAACGATTTCTGGAGGTAAAATTTATGTTATTTGACTTAGTAGATATCTGTTTGACGTTTGAAACTACGAATGCTAGGTTTCAGTAATAATAAAGACACAATAATTTACTGGAGATCTAGCTACATTCAGCAGACGTGTTCGCAATAGGTTAAAATTTGTATCCTGAACTCCCCTGCAAGTCTCTACAAATTAAATAACATCATGTTAACTTTCAGAAATCACAGAAAAGTTCATACTAGAAGTGGAAATATCAACAGACATCGGGCATTTGAGGCCCTTAGAAATCAAACTACAGACAAAATGTCTACTAGCGTAAGTGATAAACGTGAACACATATAACCGTAAGAAGTCAGTTGTTCGAGTCAAATGTCACCTCTGCTCTAATTATCAAACAGCAAAAATTAAGTAAAATCACCTTTTGTGCGATAAGAACATAATGACAAGTCGGTTAAGTCGATCAGAAGGTCATAATAGGCTTGCGTGACGATACCAGAATGCAGTGTCATCCTGTGCCACAACCACTCAAGAGCCCTCTCCCTCGGTATTCCAAAGCGGGACAAAAAGTATGGAACGCTTCACTATTTTGCGTGTCATCGTTGCGCGTGACCTATGCTAATCTTCTCTGTATCGTTCCAATTTTAAAATTTGTACAGTCAAAGCAAGTACAAGAAAAGCGGTCAACACCCTGTATTCCCAGCCGGTGAACCATGCAAGTACTAACCGGGCTTAGCGTTGCTTAACTTCGATGATCTGATATACAATCCATAAACTAATATGAAACTTTAGCAAATGTGATGTAAATCTTAAAACTCAACCTACCATAATTTGATATGTTCATCGGGTAACGATCAAAAGTGCTGTTAAACTCAGAGTTAGTTGAGGGAGACGATGATAAGGATATGGATGAAGGTGGTGTATTCGTATCAGGGAAGACTATTCTAGGTCCTGGATATGTTGTATTCACAGATGCTGACGTTGGCAGTGGTGTTGTTGTAGACTGTGTATCAGACAGACTAGATGCAAATCCTCCAGCTGAATCGGGAAGGTCAAAGTCGAATCCAATTAAGGTGACAACTGCATGCCATACACTGATAATACACAGGATGAATAACGACATTAGGACATACTTATCCTAGAAATGAGAAAAATAAGAGGCATATAATACACAAATTCTTTTATTTACAGGCAAATACAGCTGAGTAAAACTATTAACCTGCTTAAAGGATTTCATCATGAGCTGACATCAGTTAGAGAACTATAGGAAAACCACCTGGGAGTTCTAGACAGTTGTTTCCTCCTAGTTTCAGACTCTTCATCAGTACGCACCCACCAGTGGAGGTCGAACCCAGGATCTTCCGGTTACAAGGTGGCTAACTTGTACACCATCAAGCCACTGGGACCCGATTCAAAGAAATAATAAATAATAATGCTAACCGTTGGATCCTACTTACCTACCTGTATTAAAGTAAGTGTGTATTTATCAGTTTTTCTACAGGATAATAGCCCAAAATGATGAATGGCCTCTTAAAATGTATCACTTTTATAGAGTTTCTTACACTTAAATAAAGAATTTGTTTATGTTAACTGTCATTAACAACATTGACACAAAAGTCATACATGCACATTAATCAAAGCTACGTTGCTGTTTTTTTCGAAAAGGTTTTTGCTTGTACCTGTTTAGTTGTACAGTTTGTTTTAACATTATCGTACTTTAGTAGAATCTTGGGTGTTCAGCTTTAGGGAGCAGTTTGCAGCATGTAAGACTGAAATTCATGGAGACATAAACAGAAAGAAGAACACCTACACACACATGTGCACACACGAAAATCCTGTGCACATTCACAGAAAGTCTTCGTATTTCATTCCTTCAGTTAAATCTGAATAATGTAGTGAGACAGCCATTAAACAACATTAGGAAGGATTTGAAGAATTGGTTTCATAATTACTAGTTCAGGTAAACCGTTGACAAGCTCAACACGCAAACAAGAGAAGTGGCCGTCGGGTGTTTATTATTATTAATATTGTCCCCTTGGGTTCCTAGTGGAACATAGGGCTTCAAGTGCACGTCTCCACTTGCTTCTGTCTTCTGCTGTGCTCTTCACATGCATCCATGTTAGTCCATACTGTTTGAAATCCCCTTCACACGATCTCCTCCATGTCACCCTTGGACGTCTCACTTGCCGCTTTCCTTTCGGATTCTATTCGAGGGCCTGACGCGCCATGTCACCCAGTGGCTTCACCATCGAGTGTCCAATACATCTCCACTTTCTCCTGCATATTTGTTGAGCGATTGGTTCCTCAGATGACCTTTATCTGGCTAGAAAGCACTACTTGTTAACATGAATGTTATACAACTACTGGTGTCAGCCAGGCATTAGTACATAGTCGCTAGTCGAGCGAAAGCTTTGAAGTAAAGATAGGAGCAACACAAGGCAGCCTACTATTACTAACGATGATATTCCCGATTGTAGTGAGTTGAATTACGCTGAACACAGTATCTGGTAGGGGAGAAGACAGGAATACTTTGGACTGATAAGACTCTAGCAGATTTGGAATTCGTGGATGATTTACACTTAATGCTACACACGCTAGAAGACAAATGGGTGAAAACCAACAAGTTGGCACAAGACGCAGGCAGGGTAGATGTGACTTCAAGTGAACGTACAGAAGACAAGGGTGATGAAGATAACCAACCAATCGACGATAACAACAGCAAGAACCACAGACTATCAGGGGAATAAATTTGACAGAGTTCAGTTCCTTTACTTATCCGTCCAGGTAGCATCATTTCAACTACAGTTGAAAGCACGGATCGGAAAGGTAGGCTAGACGGACTCTGATCCCTCTAAAATCCACTTAAGCAATGGCCTGCTGCACGATGTCATTTAGTAGTCTCCTCAGCGTATGTCCGTTCCATCTCAGTTTTCTTCGACACATTTGTGGAGCAACACGTCCTTGATTACTTGATTACAAGAGTTTCGTCTTGCTAATTCTTTCTCACCAGCAATTTGGTCTTCAGCATAGAACGTAGGAAGCTGCTGGTATACGTCTACGACCAGTTGTTGAAAAGGACCTTCATAACGCATGAGTTGAGTTTCTGAGTCATATAGAAAAACTGACTTCAAATTGGTGTTGAAAATTCCAATTTTGTTCTTCATGCTGTGGAGTGTAGAAGATTTTCAAATTGATTTCAGAATGACGAATATCTGTCTTATCTTTCCGATACTAGTTTTGATGCCTTCATCAGTGACATCGTCTGTAGTCGGAAAAATATCGCCTAGATAAGTCAAGAAAGTCACCTCGTTCAAATTTCTTCCGCTCACAGTGATTAGGGAGTGTCATTGTTTTGGTTATTTTCATCAATTCCTTCTTCTCTAGTTTCACTTGAAGTTCTTCCTTTGTTGTAAGCCTCTTCTACCAACTTATTGGTTTTCACCTGTAAGTCCTCGTTCAGCCGTGATCCTCTGGAGTCTCCTTACTGGTCCAATAGATTCCTCTCTTCTCGCTTCTTACGAACGTTGTTCGGCATGATCCAGTCCTTGTTGTAGTCAAATGAACCTTAAAACTAGGATCTATTCCGTAAAACTTCAAAATGTTATGTTAACAAGTAACTTTAAGTTTTAAATCCTAGTTATGCCAAGGCACCTTTTTAAAGAGATTAATGTAGCAAAATGAGACTGATTAGTTGTATTCAGATGTATCACCAAGAAATCACTCATATGAGTAAAGAAAGTATTTGTAATTGTAAAGGAAAGATTATTTAGGGAATCTCTCCTGAATGATTTACTGACAATATTTATACTTATTTAGGTGTTTCAACTAACTTTGTAATTATTGCCACTTTTTCTTGTAGAATGTATGTCACTCTCTTGACATTTGCATACCACATAAAAGCTTGATTCTCGTTATTTGTCTTTGTCAATGTTAAATCTCAAATTTTAAGGCTTCTCATTTGTAGTTGTGCGATACGTCAGTAATCTTTTGTTTTATTAGGCGATTCTGTTTGAGTGATTCAAAGTGATTCCGTCCATGGACTGTTTGTAGAAAGCGTTGGTGTGTGATAACCGGTTTATATTACTGTACCTGTTTTACTAATTGAAATTCCTCTTGTTTGCACCGCTGCCTGACAACACTGATGAGGTAAAATTACAAGGTTATGATGTTATTATTGTTGAATGGAACCGCATAAATCTATCGACGAATAGTCTTCTTTTTGCTGTCTTTGGAACGTATTTTTGACTGCATGTATCTCAAGGAAGTCTCGGATAACTATACAGCAGAAAGTAGAAACCGGTTCCCTACATTCAAACCACAATGAATCGGTTTTAGCTGCTACAATCACAGCTTTACTCAGCGCACAATATTCATTTTCTAAATGACAATATTCTCTTTATCATCTGTCAAATCATCTGAAATATACCAACATTTATTGTTCAGTGGCAATTGGATGTTTTTTCTCCGCCTAAATGAAGTTCTGTCACAATGTTCTATCAGAAAAAACAACATAGTAGAGTTTTAACACTCTTCCAACTGTATAAATGTCAAACCACAATTTCACGCGGTTCTTATCCATGCATAATATAAATTTTGAATAGCTATGTCAACTAGACAACAGTTGTACTAGTTCATATTTCTGACATTTCAATATGCAATGTCTTATAGCCCATTTCTTTCCACTTCATACTTCTAAATAGAATATCATTGCGTTGTTAGAGTGTACATTTATGGTGAACATTTTTTACAATATCACAGAACGCTCTATGATTTACATATATTTGCGTAGATTACTTATGTAAAAAAGGGGTTTGGACAGAAGAAACGCCATAGTGAAATTGTGCAATGCTGTAATGATGTAATCAATTGTTCAACGCTATTGGAGGAATATTTTAAAATACTAAAAGTGAATTCCATATGATTGTAGGCATATGCAAGTTTCCGTTATTTATCACCTCCTTCCACCATTGTACATACTTTTGGTTGTATATTGACTTGACTTTCTCCTACATATGACAAAAACGATTTCATGCATTTTGTTCCCTTGATAAGTTCCAATAAATAGGGAAAGAAAGAAAGACCAGATTTGTAGCACAAGTGGTATCATTGTTAATATATGGGTAAAACTTGAGCCCTGTTGTAGTATGTAATTCTATATTAATTGGTTTATTAGATATATCACACAGTCAGTGAGACAATATTATTCACTGGATGACAAGGTTTTGAATACAATTTATTGTTGTTCATAATGACATCAATTATCTTTATACAACTCCAAAACTTCCGTTTTATAGTTTCCTTTTATCCTTCATATTCGTCATCTTGGAGGTAGCAGAATTTCCCAGAAGTCCTGATGTACAGATTCCGAATCATTCCTATTACACGTTTTTGCAGTTGATTCGATAAACAAAGCCTCCTTTACTAATCTCTCCCTCCAGCCTCTGACAATGGATTTTAAAACTGTCATCTTATTCAACCCTATTGAATGGTTGTTTGTAATTGAATGTAGTGCTATCTATGACTGAAATATTCTCCGGATTTCTTATGCTATTAGCGCAATCTAATTTTGATTTCGCTGGGTTTTTATGCTCTGCTAGTTTGATGCAGTTCGTTCCACTCCTTCGACCTGTGAATTTTACCTGAGAATCATTGCAGGCAGGCTATTATTATTATTGTTCCCTTGGGTTCCTAGTGGAACATAGGGCTTCAACCGCACGCCTCCACTTGCTTCTGTCTTCTGCTGTACTTTTCACTTGCATCCATGTTAGTCCATACTGTTTCAACTCCTCTTTACACCATCTCCTCCATGTCACCCTTCGACATCCAACCCGCCGCTTCCCTTTCGGGTTCCACTCGAGCTATGGCCTGACGCGCGATGTCACCCGGTGGCCTCCTCAGCTCAGCGAGTGTCCAATCCATCTCCACTTTCTCCTGCATATTTGTTGAGCAATTGGTCCTTGTTTCATTTGTCTCCATAGCTTCTTGTTGGTGATTCTTTCCGGCCATCTGATCGTGAGTATAGAACGAAGACAGCTGTTGATAAAGGTCTGCAATCTGTTGGAAATGTTCTTTGTGACCCGCCAAGTTTTCGAACTGACTTGACGTTTGTACTGAAAATCCGAATTTTGTTGTTGATGC